CTCCGGAACATCTCGGGGCAACTCCCGGTACCGCGCCCCAGGGCGTTCAGCGAAACCCCCACATTGCTCCAAAACGGCCCAAGACGCTCCCAAGGAGCCCCCAGAACGCGAAAGGATGGTCCAAGACGCTCCCAAGCAGCCCAAGACAGACTTCCGACGGCTCTCCAGGCTCCGAGGATGCCTCCAAGAGGCACCAAGAGAGCTGTGCGAGGCGACCCAGGGGCGCCCGAAGAGGCCAACATCGTTGATTTTCTTATGTTTTTCCAACCATCCTGGTGCGTTGGGTCCTCGTTTTGGAGAGACGGCGTCACCTCACTTACTCCCGCTGCCCCCTCCCTCCTCCCATCCCTGCCTCTGCTCCCCGCATATCCACCATTTCGGCACACCCTGGGAGCTCCGTCCAAAGCGCCAGTGGCACCGTCCACATGCGTCCGCCACACCCATTTCGGCACACCCCTCACACGTTTCGTGTCCACATAGGGAGCTCCACCCAAGGCCCCAGAGGCACCGTCCACATGCGTCCGCCACACCCATGTCGGCAAACTCCTGACAAGCTTCGTGCCCCAAAAGGAGCGCGTTTCTTTATTGCTTGGGGCATGACGGGCGTCATGGCTCCCACTCCCCCCCCCCCTATGACGTAACGCTCCCCCCCAGTGCGCTCCCGGCACTGCCGCCGTGCGCATGGGGATCCGCGTAGGAATCCGCTTAGGAGTCTGGTCCGCAGTCGTCGTCGTCGTCGTCGTCGTCGTCGTAGCACGTGGAGCGTCGCTCATCGTCGTCGTGCGCGCGGACGCGGCTGGAACCAGTTTTTTGTTTCCGGGCCGATGACGGCAATCGTTTGGGGGGGGGGAGGGGGTTGATGACGTCACGTCTCCCGCTGGCGGCTTCTGAGAATGTTCAGGATGACGGAGAACGGATAGCACCAGGTGGCGATCTGCACCACAACGCCTGTGTACACCACTGTGTCTGCGTGCACCACAGCGCCTGTGTACACCACATCGCCTATGTACACGACAGCAGCCGCGTGCAACACAGCGCCAGTTTATGCCACCGTGCCTGCGGGCACATCAGCTCTTGTGTACACCACAGCGCCTGCGTACACCATGTCAGCCGTGCGCAACACAGCACCAGTGTACACCACAATGTCTGCGTGCATTGCAACGCCTGTGTACACCAAGACGCGTGTGTGCACCACAGCAACCGTGTGCAACACAGTACCATTGTTGTATATATTTAATGTTAGAAATAATCCTTATGACAAAATGGAGCGCTTGTGGATTCCACAGAAAACAATAGAAAGGAATCCTTATGGACAAAATGGCGCCGCTGGAATCTACGACTCCTCCTGAGTCCGCCCGCATCACCCTATCTCGTTTCATTTGCGTCCAGGAGGCTCCAGCTGAATTGGCCGTCTGAGAACCAAGTTCACTGATTCAATAGACGATGCTGCGCTGCACGCTGAGATGCGCACGTGCTTTTCATCGCTGACCCGCACGACAGGGGGTAAGGAGGAATATGAGGAGGAGGAGGAGGAGGAGGTGGAGGTGGAAGTGGAGGAGGAAGGAGGAGGGAAGAACGTCGCATTCCATTCTCAGCATTTTCCTGGCGTGGCGTCTAGTTGTCCGCAGCAGATCCTCACGTACATGCTCCTTCTACTTGTCCTATGCACGCAGGCACTGTGGAGTACACCAGCGCTGCGTTGCACGCGGATGCTGAGGTGTAGACAAGGGCTGTGGCGTGCACAGGCGCTGCGGTGCACGCATGCATTGTGGTGTACACAAGCGCTGTGTTGCATATGGTTGCTGCAGTGTGCACATTTGCTGTGGTGTACACTGGCGCTGTGGTGTGCGCAAGCACTGTGGTGTACACAGGCGCTGCGTTGCACACGGTTGTTGCGGTGTGCGCAGGCGTTGTGGTGTACACGCGCGCTGTGGTGCACGCGAGCGCTGTGGTGTACACAGGCGAAGAGGGGCAGATCGCCACCGACATGGTGCTCGATTCGTCGTCGTCGTCGTCGTCGTCGTCGTCGTCGTCGATCGTCGCTCGTCGCGTCGTGCGCGCGGGCGCAGCTGTGGTGCCGGAACCACACGGCGGGGGCGGGGGACGTTACAACATACCCCCCCCGCCCCCCCCCCCCCATGACGCCCGTCATCGCCGAAAATCAAGAAACGCTCTCTAGGCAGCTCAACCGAAGGCCCGATTGGCACCGTTCACATGCGCCCTCCACACCCATTTCGTCACGCCCCTCAACTTTTCGTGGCCCCATTGGGAGTTCAACCGAAGGCCCCAGTGGCACCACCGTCCACGTGCGTCCGCCACACCAATTTCGGCACACCCCTCACACGTTTCGTGGCACCATAGGGCGTTCCACCAAAAGCCCCAGTGGCACCGTCCACATGCGTCCGCCGCATCCATGTCGGCAAGCCCGTCGCACGGTTCGTGGCCCCGCAGGGAGCTCCACCGAAAGCCCCAGGGGCACCGTCCACATGCGTCCGCCACTCCCATTCCGGCACGCCCCTCACACGTTTGGTGGCTCCATAGGGAGCTCCGCCCAAGGCCCCAGTGGCACGGTCCACATGCGTCCGCCACACCCATGTTGGCACGCCCGTCACAAGTTTCGTGTCCCATTCCACCCAACGCCCTGGTGGCACCGTTCACATGCGCCCGCCACTCCCATTTCGGGACACCCCTCGCGCGTTTCGTGGCCAGGTCCACCCAAGGCCCCAGTGACACCGTCCGCGTTCGACCGCCACACTCATGCCAGCACCACGTTTCGTGGCCCCACGGGGGGCTCCACCCAAGGCCCCAGTGGCAACGTCCACTTGCGTCCGCCACACCGATATCGGCACACCCCTCACACGTTTCGTGGCCCCATTGGGAGCTCCACCGAAGGCCCAAGTGGCACCACCGTCCACACGAGCCCGCCACACCCATGTCGGCAAGCCCGTCACACGGTTCGTGGCTCCATATAGGGAGCTCCACCGAAGGCCCCAGTGGCACCGTCCACATGCGTCCGCAACACTCATTTCGGTACACCCCTCACACGTCGTGGCATCGTTCACATGCGTCCGCCACGCAAATTTCGGCACATCCCTCACACGTCTCGTGGCCCTATAGGTAGCTCCACCGAAGATGATACTCACGACTGCGGTGCTGACAGGTGCATATGGTTGGGTCCTGCGCCAGGCTAATTTGAAGTTTTTGGCCTTCTCGCGTTTTCGAGCTTCCCACGCTCCAAGGCGGCCGAAAAGGCCCTCAAGACCGCCCCAAGACCGCCCAAGAGCCCCCAAGACTGCTCCCAAACGGGCCAAGAAGGCCCCAAGCGGGCCCAAGAGCGCCCCGAGGCAGCCAAAGAAAAGCCTCCCAACAGGGGAAACGCAAATCGAGAATCCCGGTTTTCTGATGCAAGATGCACCCAGGAGGCCCCAAGAGTCCCCCAAAGAGCCTGAAAAGGCCCCCGAGGGCCCCAACTCAACCCGTCCCTCCTCAACCCAACTAGAACAACCTTTTGGTGCTGGGGACGGGATGACGGGAGAACGTTCGCACTCAGGAGGCGGTCCCTCCTCAACCCAACTAGAACAACCTTTTGGTGCTGGGGACGAGGTGTGGGCCCTCGCAGTAGATATTATTTACACTTGTCTGTTTTGCTCGTCCCCAGTCTTTGACAGGCGATGCTTCTGAGGCAGCAGTTTTTCCAGCTGTTCCGGTCGTGGTGTAAAGGATCCATATATATATATATATATGATCATACGCACCTTTCCGAGGGAGTAGAGCGCAGAGGCGATTGATGCGCACGCGCCGCGTCGTTCGCGATTGTTCTGGCCGTTTCGCTAGGGACATCCTCGAAATTCTGAAAATCGGTGGCGCTCCTCGCACAGATCGCGACGCCAGGGTCCAAAAACACATGGGAATTTCATCATTTTCACATCAAACCTTCAAACACACATGGTAATTTCAATCATTTTGACTCCGATTCTCAGAGAATGGCGGTTTCGCTTGAGACATCCTCCCAAAATCGGAGGAGCGAGCCCCGACGTACCTTCTGGTACCCCAGACCGCCTCCTGGAACCTCCTGGGGCCTCCTGGGGCTTTCTGTACCCTCTGGTGCCCCCGACCCCGCCTCGGAGCCTCCTGGGGGTCTCCTGGAACCTCCTGGGACCTCCTGGGGCCTCTTGCGGCCTCCTGGAGTTTCTTGGGGCCTCCTGGAGCCTCCCGGGGTCACCTGGGGCCTCCTGAGGCCGCCTGGGGCCTCCTGGGACCTTCTAGGGCCTCAGAACTACATGCGCACACAGAGACACAAATCACACCCAACACATGACGCGCTAGACAGACATAACACACACAATACCTACAGCGCCCAGAAAACACGCACAACACAGCACACATCACACACGCACCCACACACACAACACTCACAATCCTGGAGCCTCCTGGAGCCTCTTCCGGTATCCAAGTCGGGCCTCCTGAGGCTTCCTGGGGGGCCCTTGTGCACGCGTCGCAAGGTGTGGCAACCCTACTTGCGCTCGAGTGCGACCTCGCTATTGTGACGCTGACTTCGGAGAGGCACTGCCCTCGTCGATCCTCCTGCTCGATCCCCAATCCTTGGGGGGGCTCTTACTCGATCTTAGATTCTTCTGCGTTCCCCTCCTGCCTCTTCCCCTGCTCTTAGGCACGCCCTGGCGGCGCCGACCCAGCTTCCCGTTCTCCATCTCCGACCCCGCCGTCATGGTGTCTTCCTGCTTCAAACGCCCTTTCAATGTGTTTGGTATGAGCCTGGGCACACACGTGACACTTGTATATGTGTGTATATATATATATGTATACATATATATATATATAGAGAGAGATATAGAGAGAGAAGCCCCCTTGGGGCCAATCTGTATCCGTATCCACCGCTTTGATGAAAATTGGCCAATCTTGCACCTTCTTTTGGAGTAGTTGTAGGGGTCACCTACGCACGGTGGCAGCGGCGGCGGCCCGCCCGCGGCACACGCCGCCAGGCGGCTCGTCGCAGACGCCGCGGCGACCCTGGCCTGCTCGGGGCGCTAGGCGTCCCGCCCCCCGCCCGTGCGACGGCGGTGCCTGCGGCGGTTGTCGTCCGCTGCCGCCGTCGGTCGGGTGGTGGGTGGTGGTCGCCGGTCTTCGACCATCGATGGTCGTCGGTCGTCGGCCGTCGGTCGGCCGGTGGTCGTCGGCCGTCGGTGATCGGTCTGAGGTTTCTTGGTGGTGTTGATGGTGGCCGTCGCCGTGGTCGTCGTCGCGGTCGTAGTGGTCGTGATCCTCGTAGTGGTGGCCGTCGTCTTCGTTGTCGTGCGGCGGACGGCGCGGCGGGGCTTTCTAACGTGAGCTGATTCGCTGAGACTCCCCGTTTCGCGCAAACCGGTCTTGGACCGAGGATCGGGCATCGAGGTTGCAGAGTCGGCGGTTTACCCTGCCAAGTCGATCAGCGAATTGCGTTTTTTCGGCCTTCGAGAATGCGTTGCGGCCGCAGTTTCTGCGGGCCTGCGCCCTCCCAGTCCGATCTGGGGTCGTTCTCAGGAAAGGGTGTTTTGCCAACGTGGCATCTGTCCACGACCGATCGAGGATCGAGGTCACGGTTGACACGGTAGGTTCGTGTCATATCGATGCGGTGGCGGCTCCGGCGAGAACGTTCCAGGTTACACGTCGTTGGTGTCCAGAATCGGCCGATCTCTGGCGATCCGCACTATTTTGAAGCCGCAGTAGCTCAAGGTCGAACGATCCACGCTGTGTCAGAAAAAAGTGGCGCGGAAGTCGTCACAACGCGGTCCTGCCGCAGCAGGGGTTTTGGGCGCTTTTTGGATCGAGGACGGGGCATTGACCCTACAAGGGGTCGAGGACAGCAGAGGTTTTCTGGGCATCTCCAGTGTCGTATGCAGAAAGAGGGAGTGTGGGTGAATGCGGAGAACTTGATGCCCTGGTCAATTGATAATTATCAGTTGTTCTCCTCTGTTGCTGCCTGCTACGCCTCCCTCAGTTGCAGCAGGCGTCCAGGCAGTCTGTTCCTTGGATGTGTCGGGACGTGGAGAATATCAATGGCACGCCGCGCGCGCTGGAGCCCCCGAGACACCGTGCTCAGCAGCTGCCTCTAGTTGGCGCCGTCCACAAGTCCACAAAGGGTTGGCGCGAGGGCTTCTCAAGAAGTTGGAAGGGCTTCTCAGAAGGCAGAAGCTTTCTCCAGAATGCCTCGGAGGCTTCCGACGAGGCTTCTACGAAGCCGGGCGTGCCTCTTCGAGGCCCCCCCCTGCCTCCTTCGAAGCCCCACCGCCTTCTCAGAAGCCCAGCCCCCCGCGCCAACCTCTTCGTGTCGCGGACTGGCCCAATCCGCTCACTCACTCCCGGTGTCGCGGACTGGCCCCCGGAGCATCGATCCCCAGTCCGCTCACTCACTGCTGGTCGGGGCCTGGGCCCCCGCCCTCCCGGCCAGGAGCGTGCGGTCTCGCTGCCTGGGGCTCTCACCATCGGCGGCCTGCCGCCCATCCACCCCTCGGGAGGACGAGGGAGGAGGAGGGAGGAGGAGGGAGGGGGAGGAGGAGGGTGAAGGAGGAGAAGAGAGGAGAAAGGAGGAGGGAGGGAGGGAGGGAGGGAGGGAGGGAGGGAGGGAGGGAGGGAGGGAGGAGGAGGAGGAGGAGGAGGAGGAGGACGACGAGGGAGCGTGGAGGGAGGACAGGGAGGAGGATGGATGAGGACAAGGATGAGGGACGAGGATAAGGGATGAGGGATTGTGGATAAGGGGTGATCGATTCTGATGGCTGCTGCTGATGATGATGATGACGATGATGATGATGAGGATGAGGATGAGGATGAGGATGACGGACGATGATAATGATGGTGATGCTGATGCCGCCAATGATTATGATGAGGATGAATATGATGACGAGCATGATGGTGATGCCGATGCTGATGGCGTTGATGTGCTGGTGATGCTGCTGCTGCTGCGTTTGCTGTTGTCGCTGATGATGATGCTGATAATGCTGATGATGCTGATGCTGATGCTGTTGCTGCGATGACGATGAAACTGATGCTGATGCCATGCTGCTGATGATGACGATGCTGATGATGACAATGACGACGACGATGATGATAATGATGATGATGATGCTGACGGTGATGATGGTGTTGATGATGTTGATGATCATGATGCTGTCGCTGCTGCTGCTGATTATGATGCTGATGCTGATGCTGGTGTTCATGATGTTGATGATGATGCTTCCGCGGATGATGATGATGATGATGATGATGATGATGATGCTGATGATGATGATTATGATGCTGCTGATGGTGGTGATGATTACGATGCCGTTGGTGATGCTGATGATGGTGCTGCTGCTGCTGATGATGATGCTGATGTTCATGATAATGCTGCTGATGCCGATACTGATGATGCTGATGCTGCTGCTGCTGATAATGATGCTGCTGCTGATGATGATGATGCTGATGACGATGATGATGATGATGATGACGATGAGGATGCTGCTGATCATGATGCCGATGTTTATGATGCTGATGATGATGCTGATGATGCTGTTCATGATGATGATGCTGATGATGATGATGATGTAGCTGCTGCTGTTGCCGCTGTCGCTGCCGCTGATGATGATAATGCTGAGGATGGTGATGGTGATAGTAATGATGATTGTGATGGTGATGGTGATGTCTATGCTGATGATAATGATGATGAGGAGGATGATGATGAGGATGGTGATGCTGGTGAGGATGATGGGGATGACGAGGATGATGACGAGGATGATGATGATGATGATGATGATGATGATGATGGTGATGATGATGATGATGATGATGATGATGATGATGATGATGATGATGATGATGATGATGATGATGATGTTGATGCTGATGCTGATGCTGATGCTGATGCTGATGTTGATGCTGATGATGCTGATGCTGATGCTGATGATTATGGTGATGCTGCGTCTGGTGCTGATGATGCTGCTGCTGATGATGATGAGGATGCTGCTGATCATGATGACGATGCTGATGATGCGGATGAGGACGAGGAGGACGAGGAGGAGGAGCAGGAGGAGGAGAAGGACCAGGAAGAGGAGGAGGAGGAGGAAGAGGAGGAGGAGGAGGAGGAGGAGGAGGAGGTGGAGGAGGAGGAGGATGAGGAGGAGGTGGGGGGGAGGGAGGGGGAGTAGGGAGGGAGGAGAAGGAAGAGGAGCAGGAGGAGGAGCAGGAGGAGGAGCAGGAGGAGGAGGAGGAGGAGGAGGAGGAGGAGGAAGAGGAGGGGGTAGGAAGGGTGGGAGGCAGGGGGAGAACGCGCCGAGGTGATGCCAGCGGCCAGGTGCCCCGCCCGCTGGAGCCCAGCGGCGCCCCGACCGGGTGCCCGCCCGACCCCCGCCCGGCAGCTGCCGTGCCGCTCGGCGGCCCGGCCGTCGGTTCCCCTCCGCGGTCGCGCGTCGGTCTGAGCGGGGGCAGCGCCAGAGGGGGGGGGCCACGCCAGAGGGGGGTGATCAGAGCGTGAATTACCTACCAAGCCATACCACGCGCCTCCTCGTCGAGCGGCCTGACCAGTACAGGCTGCAAATTGGCATCGCTTGGTATCTCTTGGAAGCGAGGGTGGTCAAAAGCGAGGTAGGTTTGTTTCCCCCCTAGGTGAGTCAACGCCAGAGGGCAGGGGCAACGCCAGACGGGGGGGGCAACGCCAGTTGGCGCCGTGGGCTGAGCGGGGGCAACGCCAGAGGGGGGGGGGGGGCAAGAGTTAAGTCGGGCCTGTCCCTCCTCTACAGGGGGGATATGTAAGAATAGTAAAAAAAAATAAGCCTGGGGACGATTAGTTCTGCCATGTTTGAGTATGTGTGCACATGTTTCGGGGCTTGTTTCTTTTTCGTCGAACGTCCGCCTGCAGGAGGACACGCCCGACCTCAGGCAAGAGGGAGGTGATGATTACAGTCGGCCCAGATTAGTAGGTCGGCCTGGCCAAAGCAAGGGTACCCTCGTGTCCCGTGTCTCGCGGCCCATGCCTCCTGCGTTCTTGTGGCGGTGTGGCCCTCGGAGGGGTCTTGTGTCCTCTCGCGTGTCCTGTCCAATCAAGGCCAGGGCCGTGATGTCTCCCCGGATGTCATGGCCCCTCCTCCTGTTTCAAAACGCCCCTTGGCCACCCCTGGGCCGCGCACGTGCCTCGGGCCACGATGTGCGACCCCCCCTCCTCGGACGCCCCCGATTCAGGGGGAGAGGGGGGGCCAGCAGCTTGTGGAGGCTGGGCCAGAAGGGAAGGGACCTTCCGGGTTCGAGGTTCGGTTAGGGGCAACGAGGGGGGCGATAGGTCTCTGGGGGGACGCATCGACCCCCAATCGCCCACTGGTCGCGGGCATCGTCAGGGAGAGTGCCAGTAGCTAATATGGGGACGATCGGAATAGGTACAGAGGGAACGGGTACAGAGACCGTAGCAGTTCCTGGTCAGATTGACGGTGATGTTGATGATGGTGATGGCGATGTTAGCGGTGATGAGGACGTTGTTGATGATGTTGATGACACAGATGGTGATTGTGATGGTGATGGTGATGGTGTTGGTGATATTGACGATGCCGAACAAGATGATGATGATGATGATGATGATGATGATGATGATGATGATGATGATGTTGATGAGGATGCTGATGATGATGATGCTGATGTTGGTGATGATGCTGATGATGATGGTGGTAATGATGATGCTGATAATGATGGTGCTGATGCTGATGCTGATGCTGATGCTGATGGTGGTGATGCTGATGACGGTGCTGACGAGGACGATGTTGATGATGCTGATGCTGATGCTAATGATGATGAGGAGGAAGAAGAGGAGGAGGAGACGAAAGAGGACCATTCATTACCTTCGGATGTAACAGCGATGCGGCTATGCACCGCGCCCCGTCCCAAGTCCCCTCCTCAGAAGGCCCCGCAGGCTTTCCTTGCCACTACAAGAAATGCCCCCTTGAAAGACAAGTGCCTCAGGGGCCTGGCGAGCTGCTGAAATGAACCAGCCCCCCTGTCGAAGCTGTTGCATTCTCAAGATGTGCGCAAAGCTGTTGCGATAGCTCATTTGGACAACACGCCCTCCATCCTGGTAGCTGATGCAAACGCTGAAGTCCGATGTGCTCGCCACCTTTGTAGTTGTTGCAACATTGATGGACGCATGCACACGGCGCTGAGGCGAGAGCCTCAGTTTGAAAAGCGTCCGCCATCGATGTTTGGAACTGAAGCTCTTTAAGATGAGTGCGGTGCACGGGCGATAGCTCCGTTTTTGAAACAGCCCTTCCACTCCTTGTAATTTTTAGGTTACAAGCTTCATGATTACACAGTGTGAGGAAGTTGCCCAGGATACCTGGCCCGCCCTGCGGACACGTCGGGTGGTCAGACGAGCGGGGGTCATCTATCAAGCACAGGGGTCGAAGGAGGAGGAGGACGACGACTAGGAGGATCCGCACATATTCCAATGATGGCCACGATGTCGCGTCCAGTCACAGGGGGTCCCGAGGGCACGAACCTTGGGGTGTACCTCCCCAAGCCGCTGCCCTCCCGCAGCCGAAGGAGTAGGAAGGAAGAGGATGAGGACGAGGATGTTGATGAGAATGATGAGGATGATCAGGAGCAGGAGCAAGAGGCGGATGAGGAGGAGGAGGAAGAGTTGGAGCGCGAGTGCTAGGCCGATCCGTTGGCCGTCGCCGCGGGGCGCGCGGGGCCCCCGCGGTTCCTCCCTTGCGCCGGAGCGCCCGCAACGGCGCAGGAGGGGCTGGCGGCCGCCCCTCGGGGGCCGCGGCTGCCGCGGAAAAGGGGTCGGCTGGAGTTCCTCCGTCCGTTCTCCTCTCTCCTGCCGCAGAGGGGCTCGCTGAGGAGGAGGAGGAGGAGGAGGAGGAGGAGGAGGAGGAGGAGGAGATGGAGGGGGAGAAGCAGGAGGAGGAGGCGGAAGAGGGGGAAGAGGAGGAGGAGAAGGAGGAAGAGGAGGAAGAGGACGAAGAGGAGGAAGAGGAGGAAGAGGAGGAAGAGGAGGAAGAGGAGGGAGAGGAGGGGGAGGAAGAGGAAGAGGACAAGGAGGACGAGGACGAGGTTGAGGAGGAGGAGGATGTGTTGGGCTCTGGGCCCCCCGGCCTGGAGCCCGGTCTGTGGGGCTCGGGCCCCCCCGGCCTTGAGGCGGGGCCGTTGCCTACGACTACTACTACTACTACTACTACTACTACTACTACTACCACTGCTACTACCACTACGACTACTACTACTACTACTACGACTACTACTACTACTACTACTACTACTACTACTACTACTACTACTACTACTACTACTACTACTACTACTACTATACTACTACTACTACTACTACTACTACTACTACTACTACTACTACTACTACTACTACTACTACTACTACTACTACTACTACTACTACTACTACTACTACTACTACTACTACTACTACTACTACTACTACTACTACTACTACTACTACTACTACTACTACTACTACGACTACGACTACTACTACTACGCTACTACTACTACTACGACTACTACTACTACTACTACGACTACTACTACTACGACTACTACTACTACGACTACGACTACTACTACCTACTACTACTACTACTACTACTACTACTACTAACTACTACTACTATACTACTACTACTTGTACTACTACTACTACTACTACTACTACTACTACTACTACTACTGCTACTGCTACTACTACTACTACTACTACCACTACTACTACTACTACTACTACTACTACTACTACTACTACACTACTATTTCTGTACACATGCTACTACAACAGCTACTACTGCTGATGGTGCTGCTATTACTACCACCAGTGCAGCTTTCACTTGTATGATTCCCGACCTAGGCTCTGCCTAGAATGGTTCTGATTTTATAAGCTTAAAGGGCCGCGCAGTGTTCCTCGCCCCGGGCGGTTCCCCCGGCATCCGCCCCGCGGTTCCCTCAGAGACGCTCCCTTAGCGTAGCGTTGCTTATCTCATCTTAGCTTAGATTATTTGATTTTAGTTTAGCTTAGCTTCGTCCTAGATCAGGTCTATCTTAGCTTTGCTTACCTTCATCTTAGCTTCGCCGAGCTTTAGCATAGCAGAGCACAGCATAGCATAGCAGAGCTCAGCACAGCACAGCGCAGCACAACATATCAGAGCAAAGCCCAACACAGCGCATCATAGCGCAGCATATCATAGTATAGCATGGCATAGCATAGCGCAGCACATCACAGCACAGCCTAGCACCGCGCAGCATAGTATGTCATAGCTTATCATAGCACCGCATAGCATGGAACAGCAGCAAAGCAAAGACAAAGCAACAGCTGCTACAGCAAAGCAACGCACAGACAACGTAAAGCAAATCAGAGCAAAAACAAAAAAAAACGTAAAAGAAAAACGACGAAGAAAAACAACATGTGCGACATAATCCGACAGATGCCGAGCTGGCCTCGATGGCCGGGCCGGATCCCCCGCAAGCAGTGCCTTCCGTAACCATTTCGGCTCAAGTCCGGAGGCCCCTGCCGCACAGCCGCCCGCGCTCATGTCCCGAGGTTGGCGGAATGAGGCGTTCAGCGTTGCTGCAGAGCCCGCCTCGGCACCAGGTGGCGCTGCACAGCCCACCCGGCGTGTTGCGGCCATCGATGCGGGCGACGTCGCGTCCGAGCGGAACGACGATGAGCGGGTTGAAGGCAGCGTGATGTACACGGCTGTCGAGGATGGACGACGCGGGGCACGTGGCACTCGCGCCATGCCCGCCTGGCAGGGTAGAGGCGTGCGTCGTCAGGCTGATCCGGGGCACAGGCTTGCTCGAGATGGGGATGCCTGGCGCGAACATCCATTTGACCGCTCAGAAGAGCGGGGAGGATGGCAAGGGCGTTGCTTCTCAGCATTTGCAGTTGACCCGCATGATCGACATCGATATCGAGTGTTTGTGGGGTGTCTTGAACGACGGAGTTGGCAACTCGGGCCTGTCGATCAGGCGGGGCAAGGGCCGCGTCATCCAGCGCGCGCATCCACCCTGTGGACAGCAGGCGGTGGCTTGATGAAGACGGCGACTGGCTGGAGAAATGCAACTCGTGGTTCCAGGTTGCCGAGTATTACCAGCTGGACCAACTGGACATCTGGGGCGAGTCGGCGAAGCCTGGGCCGCCGGCGATGCCCCGCCCTACGTCGCGCGGAGGCAGGCCCCTGACAGCGGCGGAAGTGATCGATCTGTGTCAAAGCGGTGGTCGCCGCGAGCTTAGCCGCAGTCGCGGCCGCAGCCGCAGTCGCGGCGACGACGACGACGATCACGCTGATGAGCCTCGCCGAGTTGAGGCCGGGCGCCGCGGGGGCAGCGCTGCACACCCTGCTGGCGCTTGGCAAGTCCAGGCGTCCACGGTTCAAAATGAAGAGCCGCAGTGGACTCACGCGCGACGGCTGCCTCTGCCCGCGACCTTGGATGCCGACGTGTCTGGCTGTCACTGCAGAGC